CTCCCGATGACCATCTGTGGTCCCTCGCCTGCAGAAGATGGGCCAGAGTTGGAGGTGTGTTCTGCCGCAACCAGAGGCAGGATGTTCTCCTGTGCACACTCCTCCCTCGGCAAACAGACGTGAATTTGGCCAGGGCCAGACCCTTAATTTACCCAAGCCCTTCCCCCACACCATGCCTTGTGCTGCCCCCGCACAGGGCTAGAGGATGCTTACTGACTGAACAAAATGCAGCCCCACCCAGCCAGTGGGCCTCCCGAGGTCTACACGAGGTGGATATTTTGACCGTTGCCCTGGGGGAAATGAACACCGTTTTGGATGCGTCCGGGTTGTTTCATGGAGTATCGTTTTCCCTGAGTTCAGAACTGCTGTGTGGTCTCCGGAATCTCTCCCCTGGTGCCGAGGGGTCCAGCTCACGTGCACGCCTGCTGCAGTCGTCCTTCCCTCTCCGTGGCTCCGCTGTGCTGTTTGCCCGAGAACTGACACCTGCAGCAGAGGGAGGTGGAGGGGGAACCCCCGCTCCCCGCCTGAGCATGAGCCCCTGGCAGCAATGGGCAGCGCCTTCCCTGCAGCCTCCGTGGTATCCTGCCCTCTGGTGCTCTTGCCCTGTACTGCAGTGGCCCCATGGTCATCACTGGCCTGTTAGTCCTCTCTCTCTCTTCTTTTTTTATAAAGAAAAAAAAGCGAAAGCCGGGTTTTATGCATCCCAGGTTCCCCTAGGCTTAGCCACTCATTGTCTTCGTGTTGTGAGCAGGTTATTTCTCCTCCCTCTGCCTAAGGCCCCCATCTGCCAGCGGCTGGATAGCAACATTCGTCTTGCTGTGCCTGCCATGTAGTTCTCTCTCCAGAGATGCTGTTACTGTCGTCACCATCGCCATCAGGTTCCAATCTTCCTCGCTGCTAGAGGGCCGGGGCTCTGGCTACAACCTCAGGCCACTTGGTCCAAATGACTCTTACCTGGCAGGGAAGCCAAGGCTCACACACAGGTGCCGTCTCTGCCTCATCTCTGAAGGCAGACTTCTTAGAAATAAAGCACTCCGTCAAGTTCCTCTGGCGCTAAATTTACATTCAGATGTGATCATCTCTGTAAGAAATCAGAAATCAACTCATGGATCAGAAGTTCTTTGAAAGAACACCATGGATGTCCAGCAGTTAACAGAACCATGGATGTTCTAGCTTTTTTTTTCACTTCTTGCTGCTTGAACACGAGCCCCATGGGTCCAGGAAGCCCTGGTCCATCTGTTGCCCGAGGCTGAGTGACGCTAGGCCCTGTGACAGACACCAGACCCCTCTTGTCCTCTGCCCCTTGTCTGCCTACACCTCCCCCTGACATTGTAGGGTCCTCATTTCCTTGCTGTTAGGATCCACAAACAAAAGAGAAGGGTTGCTGTTTTTCTGTCGTGTCAGGGGACTTGGATTTTGCTTAGGCATGGTATGGAGTGGGACCACAGAATTTCGTGTCTGCTTTTGCTCCACGCCGGGTGGAGGCGGAGGGCATCGCTGGGTCAGCACTCACGGAACAATCTCGGCTTTTGCACCGAGTCCCTGTTTTGAGTCTTTGTTCTCGTCCTTGGCTTCTAGGCAGGAACTTTAAACAACGCTGCTCTTAGAGGGAGAGAAGAGGCAGCCAGGGCTGATTTTTTGAAGCCAAACAGAGCATGTGAAGGACCATGTTGTCCTTGAACGTGGAGGCCCTTGGCCTTCGTGCAGCCCCAGGCCACATCCCTGTGTGGGTGGGGCAGCTGTGTCCTCCACAGCGTGCCCTGTTTGTGTACCTTCACTGTGACCTGAACCCAGCCAGAGGGCCCCACAGCAACCTCAGAGGGAGCTCAGAGAGGAGACCCGGAAGGGGGAAGCTAGGGCCGCTCTGATTGCACTGAACGTTGTTGTTTTTTAATCCGAAACCACTTTGGAACAGCTCGGGGCTGACTGTTTAACTCTAGCCTAACCCTAGAAATTCTAGAACCGAGAGCCACCTACTGAAGATGACTGGTAGTAACCGTAGCCATACCCATGTTACACTGCCTCTGTCCCAGTGCTTGGTAGACAGTAACTCACCCACTGTTCCCGGTGACCCTGAGGGATGGGCACTCCCGTTGGCCCTGTCCTGCAGATGTATGGACTGACAGCTGGGGTGACTTCTCCCTGGCCTCACAGCTCCACTGAGTGTAGAGCAGGGGGTTGACCCCAGCCACCCACACTCTGAGCCCCTCGGGCAGTGAGTGCACACTGGTCACCCACCTGACTGCAGGTTTTGGGGTCTAACTCGCTCCTCCAAGGAAAACATGATGGCCACTCCTGCCTGCCTGTCTGCCCGAGTCCACAGCCTCACTTGTCCCCATCAGGCAGGCCCTTGGCTAAGTCCCCATCTTGTTGCTACATCTGCGCTGTGCCACCCACCCTGGGGCACCATGGCTCAGAGTCCCCAGCCCGGCTGAGGCTGCCCGAGCCTCTGAGCTGATGAGACGGCACCTGTGCCTATAGATCCATCTTATAGACACTGATTCGAGCCGCACGTGTCCTGGGTTCACCCAGCCACCTGCCTGTGTCGGTGTCTCTGGGTGGCTGTGTCTCCAGCTTCATAATTTTACTTGAATGGGTTTTATGCAGAAATAACACCTTACGTTAGCAGGAAAGTATATAACCCTCTAACCTGGGCTGGTTTTCCTTAGTGCTAGGCCTAGCAGCTGAGAAATTGCAGAGTACCCATCTCAAGCCAAGCGATGGGCGTATAATTAGTATTCTGTGTTTCTATATTAAAATCCTGGCATCACAAAATAGACCTTCCACCCCGAAGTGGCCGGTTTCACGGCACAGATGCGTTGCTGCAGCAGCCATCGTTTCACATCCAGATGCATAACTGCTGACGAGATGCGAAGGGACCTCACTGTCACTGTGTCCCGAGGTCGGCGCCACTGTGACTGAGCCCGCAAGGCAAATGTCTTGTTTCTCTTTGGCGAGGTTTAGACTGTCCACCTCTGGGACCCTCAGTGGGCCTGTTAGATCTTTTTATTAAAAGTCTCATTTGCAATAGTTGGTCAAAGTAGCATGATTTTTTCCCCCATCCTAATTCAGTCTACAATCTGGTTCTTGTAGAAAGTGAGAGACAAGAAATGAGCTGCGGGCCGGCGCCGTGGCTCAATAGGCTAATCCTCCACCTTGCGGCGCCGGCACACCGGGTTCTAGTCCCGGTTGGGGCGCCGGATTCTGTCCCGGTTGCCCCTCTTCCAGGCCAGCTCTCTGCTGTGGCCAGGGAGTGCAGTGGAGGATGGCCCAGGTGCTTGGGCCCTGCACCCCATGGGAGACCAGGAAAAGCACCTGGATCCTGGCTCCTGCCATCGGATCAGCGCGGTGCGCCGGCTGCAGCGGCGGCCATTGGAGGGTGAACCAGCGGCAAAAGGAGGACCTTTCTCTCTCTCTCTCTCTCACTGTCGACTCTGCCTGTCAAAAAAAAAAAAAAAAAAAAAAAAAAAAAAAGAAATGAGCTGCAGGGTCTGTGCCCCGGTGATGCCTGGGCCTACGGTGCTCCTGGGCTCTGGGGTTTTCCACATCTGTCTCAGCTCCAGAACTGGTCCTCGCTCCAGTGGTGTGTCCCACACGTACGACAGGGCCGCTGGGGGATGTGAGTTTTGGTCTCACTTGGCAGTGGTCTCTGAACCCACTGTTCTGATATTTTTTTAAGATGTTTGAATTTGAGAGGTAGAGTCACAGAGAGAGAGAGAGGGTGAGACAGAAAAGTCTCCCATCTGCTGGTTCATTCCTCAAATGGCCACAATGGCTGGAGCTGAGCCAATCCGAAGCCAGGAGCCAGGAGCTTCTTCTGGGTCTCCCACACAGGCAGGGGGGCCCAAGAACTTGGACCATTTTCCATTGCTTTCCCAAACCATTAGCAGAGAACTGGATTGGAAGAGGAGCAGACAGGACACAAACTGGCGCCCACATGGGATGCTGGCACCACAGGCAGAGGCTTAGCCTACTAAGCCACAGCATTGGCCCCATGAACTGATATGAAAAAGCATTAATTTACATGGTGAGAAAGCTCTCCCCTTTTCTATTTTCTCTCAATCTTGGTTGTGACACCGAGAAAGATTCTGTCTGGGGCTAGCATCTCCTTAGCCCTGGGCTCAGGTAGATATGCATCAGCGTACCCGTCACACTGATGTACCCTGGCTTCCGACCGCCACGCCCACAGTCATCAGCCCCTGCCAGCCCCTCTCTGTGCCTTCTCTCTGGGCCATGAAATGGCCTTCTTGTTTCCCATGTTAGTGCTTCTCAGGCTAAAACGTGCATTGGAGTTGTCTGGGCATCTTGTTAAGAATGAGAACTCTGAGTTAGGTTGTACCTTTGAGGTGGGGCCAAGGTTCTGCGTGTCTACCAGGCTGCCAGGTGGTGGCCAGACCATGGGCCTACCTACCCACTGTGAATCTCAGCTGCCTATGCCAGTGGTTGCTGCCCACTGCTGCACAGCAGAATCACCCGGGGAACTTTCAAAACCCAGTACTTGGGTCACTTCCCTCAAACACTCTGATTTAATTCTGATCACTGGAGCATCTCACACCCTCTACCCCAAGTGATTCCAGTGTACAGCTGGGGATGGAAACCACCAGCCTTTACAAAGAGCACTTTCTAGAAGTTCCAGTGTGGGTGCAGCTCCGTGGCCCAGGTCGGACGGGGGGAGGGTAGCGTTGCTCCCAGAGAGCCGCAGAGTCACCTGGGACCCCTGTGAAATGCGAGTTCTACTTCAGCAGGTTTGGGAGGTGCCTGAGTGTCAGGCGGAGCCGGGTGCCCAGGCTGGAGCACCAGGACCCACACGGTGCCCGGTGACTGCCAGTGATGGTGACAGGCAGCTCCTCTCGCGCTGAGTCAGACCTTTTGAGTCTCACCTCCTCTTCCCTTCAAACGTGACGTGGTCGCTTTTGTCCAGCGTGGGATCCATGGCAGGACACAGGTCCACGTGGGGCGCTTCTCGGGTGGGTGACGTCGTCTTCCCTCTCTCTTCACAGTACGAGATGCAAAAAACCTGATCCCCATGGATCCCAACGGGCTTTCAGATCCCTACGTGAAGCTGAAACTCATTCCTGATCCCAAGAATGAAAGCAAACAAAAAACCAAAACCATCCGCTCCACGCTGAACCCGCAGTGGAACGAATCCTTTACCTTGTAAGTGGTCTCTCCTCTTGATTGAGTTTCGTTGCCGCCCACCGAGCAGCTGCCCACCCCGTGGCCAGAGGTAGCGAGGCACGTTCCCCATGAAGGCCGTAACGCTGCCTTCCTTCCTGGCGCTGTCTCAGGCTGCCACCGGCAGACGGCTGCCATCACCCCTGTGAACAGACAGTGCCTTCCTCTGCCGGGAGCTGTGTTCTACAGGCCCCACGTATGATCGTTGCCTGTTCTGTACCCAGAAATATTCTATGTGAGCTGTTACACTTGATGTAAAAGTGCGCAACGTGCATCTTATCTCCTGATGAACTTCGGTTCCTTAGGGGAGGGCATGAGGCACAAGCTTAAATAAGGTAGAAAGCAAAGTAAGTCAACACAGAGGCTGTCGATGGCATTGAAGTGAGCATCCTCGCCTTCGATCGGGGAGGACTTCCCGGAGGCAGCAGTGTTTAAAGTGGGTCTTGAGGGATTTGCCAGGACTTCAGAGGTAGAGATGGAAGAGGGGGCAGGAGGGCTGAAGGAGTCGGGTGGGACGGCACAGGTGTAGACTGGCCCATGGGAAGCAGGTCTCTGTACGGGATGGGCTTTGTGAGCCATCCAGGCTCCATTGCACACCCACAGTGAGGTCCCCATGTCAGAGCAATGGTAGCCAATACGTAAACACAAGGCCATGGCTGCATTCTAATAAAGTTGATAAAAACAGGCAGTGGGCCAGATTTGGGCCATGGGTCATGGTTTGCAAAGGCCTGGTCTAGAGCTTTGCTTGCCATTGTAAGGGGTTGGTTTTTTGTTGGCACAGGAAGAGAATAGAATACACTGGCTGTCTATCTCAGGCTTAGATCACGGCCATGTCATAGAAATACTGATCAAGATATGCCAATGTGTGTGTGCGTGCGTGTGTGTGTGTGTATGTGTTTTGCAGCAAATTAAAACCCTCCGACAAAGACCGACGACTGTCTGTAGAAATCTGGGACTGGGACCGAACAACAAGGAATGACTTCATGGGGTCGCTCTCCTTTGGCGTCTCGGAGCTCATGAAGATGCCAGCCAGTGGATGGTGAGGAAGCCCCTGAGGCTGAGGGTGTCCCGCACGGTAGCCATCTGGAGACTTGGACCAAGCCGTGCAGGTCCTTTGCACTGCCTGATGAGTGTCCAGATGCCAGCTGTGGACTCTCCCCGGGATGCCTGCCACGAGGCAGCTCCACTGGGGTTGAGGGAGGCTTGGGAGCCCGCAGTGGTGTGGTCACAGCACCCCTAACTGCCTTCTCCCCTGTGTCTTTGAAAGGTACAAGTTGCTGAACCAAGAAGAAGGTGAATACTACAATGTGCCCATTCCGGAAGGGGACGAAGATGGGAACGTGGAGCTCAGGCAGAAATTCGAGGTGAGGCCACCCACAAAGAGGCCGCGACACCTTCCCTTGCCTTTATGAAGCAGAGCTTCTGCAGGGGCCAAGTTGCCGTGGGTACACTGTGGAAAGGCAAAAAGTAATTTAAATGTTAATTTTGTTCTTTATTTAAAAACACAGACGTTGCCTGTAATCACTTCCCTGTGCAAGCCGTCGACACTCTGTGTCGATTATCACTTAGAGAATGGGGATTGGAAATGAGGTGATTGACTTCTGCATGAGAAATCAGCACCGGGGTGTCCTCAGCGCAGAAGTGCCAGTGGGGAGACGAGCAGGGATCCCTACCAAGAAGGCTCGTGCTCCTCCAAAGAGGAGCCGCTGTTCCGCCTGTCCTGGGAGACTGTGTGTGTGTCGTTCTGAAATCTTGCCTGTATCACACATTTTTTTCTTGCAGAAAGCAAAATGTTCTGGGTTTTGTTCCAAGAAGCCAGCTCAAATGGCTCTGCCTTTGTGTCTGGGACTCCTTTTTATTTTTGCTCCAGATCTTTGGGACGGACCAGCCTCCTTCCCCTCTTCCTGTTTGGTGTCTGGGTTTGCCTTCTGCCTGGCTGCTTGTCTCGCTTCTCCCTCCCCTCCTCCTCGCTCCTCTCTTTTCTTCTCCCTGCTCTTCCTTCTTTTCTTTCCAGACATCTCAGCTTGCAGTGAGCCCCCTCTTCTGGAAGCACCGGCCTTCGGTTCCAAGTCACAACTTCTGATTTTTTTCCCTTCCTCTAATCACCCTGCGTTTGGGCTTATTGAGAGATTCATTCTGTGTGACAGGCGCATGCCTTCTTGAATTCTTTCCCTCTGCAGAATAACCAAGGTTTCCTGAAATTTCTATACCCTAAAGAAACACGCACACACATGTGCACACACACACAAACACACATACACACATGTCCCAACACACAAGTGTCACTGAAATGTTGACACCATTGGGAGGCTGGTGGTCTTGTCTTCCTTATTGTATTGTTCCCAAAGTGACATGCAGAGGTCGCATGCAGACAGGCTGATCTCCCAAGGTGTTATCATGAAAGAGTTGGTTAGCTTAGGACCCCGATGCCCGGACACAGTGCAGGTTGGTGACAGGTAGTGAGGGGCTCAGGAGCGTAAGTGGATAAGTGCAGCACAGGCGATAGGAACCTGATGGCAACCACCAGCCCGCCTGAGAGTGGATGAGACCGCAGGGAGAGGCGGGGACTGGGGTGAGCTGGTGAAATCCAGCCCCAGCTCAGTGTGGCAGCCGCCACTGCAGTGGGCTAAGGCACCGCTTACGGCGTCAGCGTCCCAGCCTGGCTGCTCCACTTCTGATTCAGCTCCCTGTTTGTGTGCCTGGGAGAGCAGCAGAGGAGAGCCTAAGGACTCGGGCCCTTGACATCCATGTCGGAGACCCTGATGGAGTTCTGGGCTCCTGGCTTTGGCCTAGCCTGGCCCAAGCTGTTGAGGCCATTTAGAGAGTAAATCAGCAGTTGGAAGATGTCTCTCCCTCCACTCCCATCTGCCCCGTGTGTGTGTGTGTGTCTCCATCTCTCTCTGTTGCTCTACCTTTCAAATAAAATAGAAATCTTTTAAGAAAACTCAAAGGGCCAGCATCGTGCTATATCAGGTAAAGCTGCTACCCACAACCCTGGCATCTCATATGAGCACCAGTTCATATCCCAGCTGTTCCACTTCCAATCCAGCTCCCTGCTGAAGGCCTGAGAAAAGTAGCAGAGGATGGCCCAGGTGTGTGGGCCCCTGCCCCTACGTGAGAGACTCCTGGCGCAGCCCTGGCTGTTGTGGCCATCTGGGGACTGAACCAGCGATGGAAGAGCTCTCTTTCTCCTTGTGTCTCTCACTTGCTTTCTGTAACTCTTTCAAATGAATAAGTAAATCTTTAAAGAAAAAAAAAAAAACCACTCAGAATTGTGTAGAGGTCAGACATTCCCTCTATTGCTTTAGACAAGGAAGGAGTTAGCCAATGGGGATGAGCTTGCAATATCTGCTGTTAAAAAATCTATGAGAGGGGCTGGCACCGCGGCTCACTTGGCTAATCCTCCGCCTGCGGTGCTGGCATCCCAGGTTCTAGTCCCAGTCGGGGTGTTGGATTCTGTCCCGGTTGCTCCTCTTCCAGTCCAGCTCTCTGCTGTGGCCCGGGAGTGCAGTGGAGGATGGCCCAAGTGCTTGGGCCCTGCACCCCATGGGAGACCAGGAGAAGCACCTGGCTCCTGGCTTCGGATTGGCACAGCACGCTCACCAGAGCAGCCATTTGGGGGGTGAACCAACGGGAAGGAAGACCTTTCTCTCTCTCTCTCTCTCTCTCTCACTCACTCTCTCACTCTCTCACTGTCTAAATCTGCCTGTCAAAAAAAAAAAAGTCTAGGAGAGAAAAGATGATAAAAGGAAAGAGGTTATCTATATAATAATTGCATGTTTATACATATACATACAGAGAGATGAAAGCCAAGGTTTTGCAGTGGGCTCAGGTGTCTGTGGCAGACCCAGCTCTGTCTCTGTTTTCCTTCACCTGCTTCATCCACTCTCTGTTCCCACTCCCACCCCACAGCAGAGGGCCTGGAGCTGGGGCGCTGGACAGGAAGCCCTCCTGGAGCCCCCTGCCCCATGGCGCATTGTTCCTGTGACCCTTGAGTCCTTTAGAGAGAGTTCAGGGCACTGAGTACAGTGTGACTCGGCTGTCCCCAGCGGGGCAGAAACCTGGGCAACGGCCAGCCCTCGCTGGGTTTCATCTCCTAACAGCGCTCAGCAGCGGCCCCAGGCAGGAGCCCTGGCACGGAGCGCGTGGGAGGGGGCTCTGGCGTCGTCCATGGGGGGCTCTGAGCCTTGGCTTTGCTCATGGAGGAATACTGGCCTCCTTTTTGTGGCTCATCTCCGCAGCTTCCTGTTGAGTTATCCTCCTGTTTTTCTGGGCAGGAGGTCCAGCTTTTTATAAGGGTCAGAGTTCCAAACTTAAAAAAAAAAAAATAAATGAATAACAAACCGGAGGACTTGAGGCCAAAGGCAAAGCGTTCCCCTTGGAGGCCGGGTAGAGGCCGCGTGGGTGTCGCCAGTGGCCGTTCTCCCTGCTGGCAGAGCTGTGGATTCTGCTCTGTGGCACCAGAGGCGAGAGGTGGGGTCAGCAGAGTTGCATGGTGGCCGGGCCCCTGCTGCCCCCAGACCACCAAATCCTGCTTGGCACCTGTGCATGAACTGTGTCCCAGCTCTCCTGACGCGTCTTCCCGCTCACATTTCCCAGTTATTCCATTTACATTCGCTCATCTACTTAGAACAGACTAGAAGCACAACTGTAAGAGCATGGGCAGAAGGCCCCAGTGTGCAAACAATGCCGAGAGCCTCACGACGCTGGCAGCGTTGTGTCTCAGCTGGAGTGTCAGGGCTGGTCTTGGGCAGGGGCACAGCCCCATAATGGTGTTCTGTCGCAGTCCGTGCATGTGCGACTCACAGCCCTTCCCCTGGGCCAAGCTCTTAGGGAGCCATGTGCTGGGGCAGAAAACGTGGGCTCCATATTTGAGTAGTTCTAGGAGGCAGCCAGCTTTCCCAGGGTGCTGCTTGGCATGAATGTCATTTGGGGAGCTTGCTAGACACCCAGTGCCTCTCCTCCCTCAGTCCCCAGGGTCTCCCCAGGCGCCCCTTTGTACCTCTGTCTGCACATGGTCGCCGTTCTGACTGGTGGGCCATCTTGCTCATCCCTTTCTTCCCAGTACCCCTCCCTGGAATCCTGCCCACCCTCCAGCTGCTGCTCTGTTCGGCTGGGAAAAGGTTTTCTTGTAGGTTCCTGGTGAGTTACCATTGCGTGAACACAACATGACGGCGAGTCCTGCCAGGAGCAGGCGTCCTACCCCGGTCTTGCACAGCGCCTGTCTCTCAGGATCGTCTTTCCATGTCCAGCTCTGCTTTCTTTTTTTTTTTTTTTTTTTTTTTATTTATTTAATGAGCATAAATTTCCAAAGTACAGCTTATGGACCACAATAGCCTCCCCCCCCCCCCCGTGTCTTCCCTCCCATCCACAACGCTCCCCTCTCCCACTCCCTCTCCCCTTCCCCTTCACATCACAATTAATTTTCAATTATCTTTATATACAGAAGATCAATTTAGCGTATGTTAAGTAAAGATTGCCACATTTTGCTCCCACACAGAAACATAAAGTGTAAAATACTATTTGAGTACTAGTTATAGCATTAATTAAACACCTAAGAGTAATTGTGTATTAATTACAGAGCTCAACCAATAGTTTTAAGTAGAATATAAAATGCATCTTTTGCATTGTTGTGGCTTCCCCCCGACCTCCCTCCCTCCCGTGGCCCTCCCCTCACCCACTTCCTCTCCCCTCCCCCCCCCATCACGTTTCATTTTCGGTTACCTTCATATACCAAAGATCAATTTAGTATATACTAAGCAGGGATTTCAACAGGTTGCACTCACACAACCGAACCCGGTATATAGGGTATTGTTCGACTAGTAGTGTTGTTTTTGAGTTTCATAGATAAACATGTTAAGGACAGAGATCCTGCGAGGGGAGCATGAACCCAGTGACTCCCGTTGTTGATTTAACAATTGGCACTCTTATTTATGACGTCAGCTATCTTGCTATGAGCTGTCTAGGCTATGGAAGCCCCTTGAGTTCACCAACTCTGAATTTGTTTAGTCAAGGCCGTATCACAATGGAGGTTCCTTCCTCCCTTCAGAGAAAGGCGCCTCTCTCCTTGATGGCCTGATCCTTCTGCTGGAGTGTTGTTCACCAGGATCCTACATTTAGATTGTTTTTTTGCCACCGTGTCATGGCTTTCCATGCCTGCGCAGCTCTGCTTTCTAGAAAGAGCTAACTACAGTTTTCAGACCCTTTCCCCAAAATCAGAAGTTATTCACCCAACAAGAGAAAAACCGAAACAACCCGCCTCTGCGTTAGAATTCATCCGATGAGTAGAGCAAAGGGTGTGTTCTAGAGTTTGACAAGCCAAACAACCAGGGAGTGCAGCTCTAAGGAGCCAAGGAAGAGCCCA